TATCATCTAGTACATCGATTCCTGCACCGGTCCTTCGGCGTAGTGGGAGGACTATCATCCGACCCGAAAAACTCACGCTTTTGGGTGAGGTCAATGAGGCTGTCCCCGATAAGCATGAGTCGGACCCAGTAAGCTATGCGGAAGCGTTAACCGATATAAATGCGAATCGTTGGAAAGATGCCATGAAATCAGAGTTGGAATCTATATATTCTAATAAAGTCTGGGATATTGTAGAACTTCCTAGTGGGGTTTAGCCCATTGGTTATAAGTGGATCTACAAAGGAAAGAGAGGAATGGATGGGAATGTTGAGACATTCAAAGCTAGAATGGTTGCCAAAGGCTTCACTCAACGTGAAGGTATTGATTATGAGGATACATTCTCACCAGTTGCAATGCTTAAATCTATTCGCATTCTTTTGGCCATTAATGCTTATTATGACTATGAGATATGGCAGATGGATGTTAAGACGGCATTTTTAAATGGCCATCTTGAACAAGACATCTACATGAGGTAACCAGACGGTTTCGTGGTTAAAGGTCGTGAGAACTATGTATGTAAGTTGAATAGGTCCATTTATGGACTTAAGCGAGCACATGGAACATTTGTTTTGATCAGGCAGTCAAATTATTTGGCTTTGAACAAAACGTGTTTGAATCTTGCGTTTACAAGAAAAAACAGGGTAATGTCATCATGATTCTCGTTTTATATGTTGATGACATCTTACTCATTGGTAATGATGTAGAGGCTTTGTCATCAGTTAAAAAGTGGTTATTCAATAAATTTGAAATGAAATATCTTGGAGAAGCAAGCTATATTCTTGGGATCAAGCTTATGTGAGATCGGGTTAAAAAGAAAATAGGCTTGTCTCAAGAGTCTTACATTGATAAAGTTCTGATCAGGTTTGGAATGGAAAACTCTAAGAAAGGGTTTTTGCCATTTAGGCATGGGTTGGCTCTTTCTAATGACCAGTTTCCCAAGACTGATAAAGAAATTGAGCAAATGAGGTGGGTACCATATGCTTCGGCAGTTGGTAATCTCATGTATGCCATGGTCTGTACTAGACCAGACATCTGCTACTCGGTAGGGATTGTCAGTAGATATTAGTCCAATCCTGGATTTGATCATTGGTCAGCTGTGAAGAATATCTTAAAATACCTTAGAAGAACTAAGAATCTCATGCTCGTTTATGGAGGTGATGATCTGGTTCCAGTCGGATATACGGATTCTGATTTTCAATCAAATCCAGATGCCAAGAGATCTACATCTGGATATGTGTTTAAGTTCAATGGAGGGGCAGTTAGTTGGAAGAGTGTCAAGCAGGGTTGTACTGCTGACTCAACCATGGAAGCAGAATACATTGCAATCTCTGTGGCAGCAAAAGAAGCTGTTTGGTTGAGAAACTTTCTAATTGAACTGGAGGTTGTGGAGCATATAGATCGGCCTATGACGCTTCATTGCGACAATAGTGCTACTATAGCCTAAACAAATGACCCAAAATTTCATAAAGGAACAAGACACATTCAGAGGAAACATCATGTGGTTCGTGATATAGTAAAGCGAGGAGATATACTTGTAGCCAAGATTGCATCGGAACATAACCTTGCTGATCCATTCACAAAGGCTTTACCGATCAAGATGATTGATCGTCATATGGAGAACATGGGAGTTAGATGTGATCCGAATTGGCTATAAGTGCAAGTGGGAGCTGTTGGGATATGTATGCTCTAGCATAGCAAATTCTTATTTTGGATTGTAAAAGTTATGGTTTCTTATCTGAATATTATTATTAAAGCATTATACAATTAGTGAATGGAATGTATTATTTTTCGATTCATTATGGAATTGATTGTGTCCACTTGATTACAAAATATATTTATATATGTATGTAATGGCAATTAATATTATATTATAAATTAGTAATCATAAATGGTTCAAAGTCGGTAATTATGGATGGACATTTAATTAGTTAAGACTTGAACCGAGTCCACGATAGATTGAGATATATTGCGAGAGCTGTCATATGCAATTGCTCTCTATCACAGTCATGGCTTTTGACTCTCAAGCATGAGAGAAGTATAAACTCTTTTATTAATTCATAATTACTTTGATTTGTTCGGCGGATACCTCGGGATCCTTAGATCGGCACTTTGGGTAATTATGTAATTAATAGTTAGAGATCTATATTCTCAATATTTGTATCAGTGCTTTTTGTATTTATTTTGTTTTGATTATAGTTGATCACAAATTAAATTCGAAGACATTCGTATGTTTTAGACAAATGTTTTCTATATATATTTATTTAGTAAATTATTATTTTTTTGTCAAATAAATATTTTATTATGGTCGATCCGGAAATAATCAAAAGTAACAAAATAATTATATTAATTATATTGTCAGATTGATGGCTTTAATTATCCGATAAATAATTATGCATAGAGGAGTCAAAGTGCAACATTGACTTAGAGGTTATTTACTATTTAATTGGAGTGCAATTAATTTTTTTTAGTGGAGTAGAAATTAATTTATGAATTAATTAAATTGGGTCCATGGTTTAATAACCGAACTAATTATTAATTTATAGTAAGCCCAAAAGGATTCTCACCAATAGCCTAAGTTGATATTGGAGTCCTGTTAGAATTGAAAAAGTTGATTTAGAGATGGAGAATGATTTATTATTTCCTTATTCTTATTTTTATTTTGCCTATATATACATGGGTCCATGTATATTTTAAGTGTGACTTTCAGAATAAGAAAAATGAATACACTTTCTCTCTCTAGATTTTAGGATTTGTTTTCTCTTCTAAAAGGAGGCTACCACAAGCCTAGACTCCAAGGTGATTCAGCAAGGCATATTGGTGATTCCTAAAGGGAAGATTATAATTAAGAAGAAGGAGAAATGATCTTGTTAAAGGGATCTACAATAAGTGAGAACATTCACTTTAGAGGAAAGATTAAAATGTTTACTCTGACATTTGATGTAAATATTCAATCTGTTTATTGAATGATATATCATCTTTTATTTGTTTTTGCATAAAACTTGTCTCTATGTGATGAATCAAAATCTATGATTGCAAATCCCTCAAAAGTTTTTAAAAACTTACACGTTTCCCAACAGTGAACCCATTAAAACTTCAGAGTTAAGCGTGCTAAACCTGAAGTAGTAGTAGGATGGGTGAGCCCCTTAAAAGTTTCTGATCCAAAAAAGCCAAAAACAAACAATATTATGTTTGGTTAGGGTAAGAGTTATTACATCATAGGACTTATGTTGTCACTTGATATCTCCCCAAATAATCTATTTATTTTGAAAACCTCTTATACCCCCTTCTTTACTATCGGGTAAAGTGTAAAAAAAAAACCCTTATAATTAAAAAAATGTGCAAAGAAGGATTCTCACGTCAAAAAATGGCGTGTGCAGGTCATGTGACCAAAAATACCTCTTCCATACCAATTTTACCTTTTTTGTGTTCCAAAATTGCCCTGACTCAATTCTGTATGGTATGTACAGCTTTCTCTCTATTTCTCTTATTTCTCTCACTAACCTCTTTCATTTTTCCGGCAGCTCTGTTTCTCTGTTCCTAAACTGCTTGAGAACTTGTAGTGAAGCTAATCGAATTTTTTTATGAAACAACAAATTTTGATCATTATATATTATTATTATTATTATTTTGATAAAATAACAAAAATTGATCTTTAATTACTATTTTTTTTACAATACAACAAAATTTGATCACAAAGTTATATATATATACACACACACACACACACACACACAAACACCTACACATATTTCATTAATTCAAGTTGGAAGTCGTGAAAATTCCATAAATTTATATAAGAAAAAAAATTCCGTAAATTTGATTCCATCCTGTGTCTTCTCAAAGAAATACTGTAATAAAATAAAAATAAAAATTGATAAAATAAAATAAAACAAAAAGGAAAAGCCCAAGCATGAAAGATTATTACATCATTTTGACATCTAGGGAGAGAATTTGAGAGAGAGACTTCTTTTTTTAGTTTTTCAGTTGCTACGCCATCCCGAGATTTTGTAAGAACATACTGAAGTTACAAGATCTTAGTAAGTGTTTTTTTTTTTTTTTTTTTTCAAAAATAATCAATTAAAATAGAAGATTTTTGCCAAAGATAAGAACAGAGAAAATTGAACTGTAATAAAAACTAAAATTGAATATTAATGGATCAATTTAAATTCAGATCATAGAAGAGACAAAATCAGATTATTTACATAAAAAAGAAATTACAAATTGGCTACTATTTACAAATAAACAAATGAACTACGAAATCAGTGAACTCAGTGATCAACGCAATCAGGCTAAAGCTATTCTCTGTCAAGAAAGTTGAATGTTCCTTTGCGAGAGAAATTGCAGCAGATTGGAATCTCCCAGCTTCTTTTTATGAGCCTGACCAGTCAAATCCTTTCTTCCATTTCGCAACCACTCAACTCACCCAAAATCCTCCACCTCTACCACCACCACCATTTCCACTGATCCCAACTTCTCAACACCTTCCCCGACCATAACCAGTAGTGTGGATTCTTCATGGTTTGTTGAGTCATGCCACCCGAGGATGTGGTTGAAGGTAGTTAATGCTAGGGATGCATAATGTTGTATTTGGGCTTTTGGGCCTAGCTCGGTTTAAGACTTCCTTGTAGGTTTCTTTGGGCCACTATAGTGGACTTTTATTTCTTGTTTCCATGCCCAGTTTTGTATGGGCGGAGGGACCTTCTTGTAATTTCATTCTTTTTTAATGAATTACTTATTTACCGAAAATAAAAAAAAAAAAAACCAAATGAACTACGAAAATCAAATTGAGAAGGAACAAAACCCAATATACAGAGGAAGAGCAAAAGCCAGTATACGACTCAAACAGACCCATCATATCCCATGGGGTTGTCAATATCGATAGATACTATATTTTCAGGTCATAAGGATCAAAATCCCAACCCATCAAAATACGATTTCCCAACCCATGCAAATAAAGTCACCTGGGTGATACATTTGAAATAGTTACTACATTATTGGAGCACGTCTTATTATCCTGTGAGGATTGTACTGTTTCAAAAGAAAATGCTGGTTGTGCTGGTCGAGGAAGAGTTATGGTGTCGCTTCCCAGCATGAGGACTACATATGACATGGTTGGCCTATGTGCTGGATCTTCCTGGACACATAACAATCCTATGTGGATGCATCTCAATACTTCCTCTGCCACAAAAGACTGCACAAGTAATGGGTCCATCATCTCCAACCCTTCGCTTTCACACCACAATTTCCATGCCTGTCATATCATACCACTCATCAATTTAATATTAGTAAAATTATTCACGAGCTAGATGGAAGTGCTACATACTTTAATTTGAATAAAATCACATTAATAAAATGATAGGAACGTACGAATGTAAGGAGGCTTTGACCATGTTCAGAATGGTAGAGGTTGTTGTTTCTTTTTCCACTCACTATTTCCAGTAGTAAAACTCCAAAACTATATACATCTGATTTAACAGAAAATAATCCCTGCATAGCATACTCTGGTGCCATATACCCACTATTTGGAACAAAAATAACAAATATAATGATATCAGATTAGATTCAACGCCCCAAATAAAATATATATATCTATATATATATACATATATATTATATATCAAATTAATTGCTACAAGCACTTTAGGAACTGGAGGATAACAGAGAATGCCAAGCTTCCATCACAACCTTTCCACTTACTGGCTTTGTTCAATATCATATAGAAAGAGGCCAATGTTGATACCGAAAATAATAATAATAATAATAATAAATTGAAATTAGAAAAGAAAAGAAAGGAAGAAGATTACTATGTTCCAACAACTCTATTTGTGTTAGCTTCAATTTGATTTCCTCCAAAAATTCTTGCCATTCCGAAGTCTGAAACTTTTGGATTCATCTCATGATCCAGCAAAATGTTGCTAGCTTTAAGGTCTCTATGAATAATTCTGAGTCGGGAATCTTCATGCAGGTACAAAATACCCCGAGCAATTGCATGAATAATTCTAAGGCGTATTTTCCAATCTAGTTGTGCACCTTTAGTGGAATCTACATTAAGGAAATAAAACAAAATGATATTAGCGTCTTACTTCTGTCAAGTATTCTTTTGCTTTGCTTGAAAAATTATAGTAGCTAGCAAGTAGAGGGTCAAACCAAAAAGGAAGAAATCTAAGCTCTTGTTGGACATGTATTCATAGATGAGCAGCAATTCGTTTCTGTCCAAACAGCAACCCAAGAGTCGGACAAGATTCCTGTGCTGTAGTTTTGCAATTAAAATAACTTCATTCTTGAACTCTTGCAGTCCTTGGCCTGAAGTTCTTGAGAGCCTCTTTACCGCAATTTCCTTTCCATCTTCTAATGTTCCCTTTAATTAAATAAATTTCCAGGTCATGCATTAAATACCATAATAATAAGACATTAATTCCAAGAGGCGGACAAGATATATAGCTGCTTGAAGAACTTGTAATAACACCACAAAATTTACTTTGTACACTGGACCAAATCCACCTTCTCCGAGCTTATTTTCTTCAGAAAATTGTTGTGTAGCTGCCTGTATGATATCCAATTGGATCAAAGGTAATTCTTGAGAATTCACCCCATTTTCTCCTTCTAAATTTTCAATCTCGTAGTGATGATTAAATATTCTATCATTTGCCAAGTTGATTAATTGAACCTCTTGGCTATTTTCTCTCTCTTCTGCAGGCAACAAGGACGTAGAAGGATAGAATTAGCTGACATAATGTCGAAGGTAATATATACAACTGTACGTGGTAACTGCATTACATACCTTTCTCTTTTCTTTTCCTTCTCCAATAGTAGTAAATACTGGACCCAAGCAGGGCTAACACAACAAATGATGGTACACTGGTGCTGATTGCAACTAATGCTCCATTTTTGCTCGTCTCTGAAAAGTAATTACTTTTTCTTTCAATCATCATGACCATTGGACACTAGTCTTCCATTTATAGACAATAACACGGGTAAACCCTTAGTCACACAATTCGCAGCACCGCTCTCAAGTTATGCAGTCGATTTGCGATTTGCGAGCGAATTCGTACAAAATCAGCGAATTCACTCTTTGCAATTTGTGAATTTATTAGAGTCCCAGTGATATGAAACACCTATCTTACCATATATGTATTTATTACTTACACTATTACTCAATATATATATTCCGTATTAATTACTTAAACTCCACCTGTGCCCCCATATGGCATTTCTATACTTCCATATATATACATATATATATATATATATATACTAATTATACATGTTTGAAAATATACTACTAAAAAACTTTCCAATTAGAGAATATTACAAATAAATCATGCATCTATTAGTGAGAAAAATTAGCTTATTGCTTTCAAAAATTTTAGACTTTAACGTTTTTGTGCTCTGGCTTTCGCTCCCAGTTTCGCACTCGTTCCCACTCTTGTGACTTAGGGTAAACCATCCTATAAATTTTAAAATTTTGTGTAACCTATCTAACAATTAAGGACCACACTACATATATGAAACTTATTGGGTGTATTAAAGAAGTTAAACAAATAGGTAGTAGCACTGTCAAATAAATGGATGTGTTTCATAACCAATTCTTATTAGCTTGTAAGAAAAAGTAAAGGGAGTTGGTAAAAAAATAAAATAAAATAAAATAAATTGACTGATATTTAGGCCGGCAGAAGACTGCTACAGAAGTCTACTGCAAAATCATCAGCTCTCAAATAACCTAATACCATATGAGCTGGGATTGGCTGCTATCAATCCAAACTCAGCTCAGAGGGAATCGAGAAACTTTTTAAGTTACCAAATAGATCATAAATAACTAGCTAGTGATGCAGTAGTCTACATAAAGAACAACAGTCGATAAATACCAAGAAAAATAATATAATTTTTATTTAGAAGTTTAAAAGCAATAAAAGTGTGTGCTAATTAATGCATTTATATGATGTAGGTGTCCTGTACCCGGTGGTGGTGGTGGCAGGGCCGGTGGTGGCAGCAGTGGCGGTGGTGGTGCATCCATGATGTTGTCACCATAAAAAATATAGTACTCAAACCTTAGATTGCAGCTGGGTAAATTAACTCTGGCTCCCCAATTAAGCTGTCCATTAGAAGATCTTGGAATCCATGTAGCAGCGTCATCTAGGCAATCGATGCATTGCTGCTTAGATAAATCAGGGGTGCACTGCACAAGCGCAAATAACATTCGGAAGTCCAGTGCTTGCTCGTTCCCCGTTGCAAACTTGAGATTAGAGTCACCTGATGCAGCTTTGTCCTTTAGGCGGTTCAACAAGGTTGTCAGCTTCTCAATCTGATCCACATTGGATGCATTATGGGGGTTATCCATAGCGAAAGGAGGCGAAGTTTCCATCTTATGGAATATAGAGCGGTAGGAATAACGCAACGTACAATTGTCATACCATACAATTGCCTCCTTTTTGTTAGGACACTTTTCTGTGATTATAGCACTAGATTCACCGACGCAAACACGACAGATATCGATCCCAACATCTCCTCTACAAAATGCGATTGCATTAACTGTGTCATTGTTTTCGCCGTAGGAGGAATTATAAAAGCCATAGTAGTTGATGTCAGAAGCCATAGAGGAGAGGAGGGTGTCAAGGTTTGCCTTGTACCTACTATCATTGCTGTAGTTGATACTGAAACAACTGTGACCCATGTAGGCAGCAGCTGGCTGACTAATGTACTGGAGGAGACCAACAACAAAAACAACTATGAAGAAAAGCTGCCTCCAGGAACCTATTATTAACATTGTATTTGTGTGTGTCTCTCACTCTCACACCCTCGATTTTTGTAATCTCTAAAATGGCATTCAACTGCAAGGGTTTTAATATGAAATTTGTGGTTGCCTAATAATTCATCTATTGTCCAACCACCTTATATTGAAAAAGTATACGCCGAAAATGTCAACAGGCCATTCATTATATATTGATAGATAGACCTAAATGGGCCCACTTATATTTTTCATCAGGTGCGAAGGACCGGCAAGGCAAGAGGTACAAAAAATATCCACTTATGGACCCACTTTTAAGCTCACCAAACAAAAAATTTAATATATTATCCTAAACATAAAATAATAGAACCCTAAAAATTTTGAATCCCAATGTTTCACTTAGAGCATCCGGGCGGCACTCTCTTTAGAATATATCTGTGTTAGTTATGAGAGAAAAGTGGACGGTATGGTGAAAGAAATAGAATATCTGTCTTGTGGGACCTACAACCATTGTCTAAACCTTTGTCCACAGATAGAGAAGCCTTTGGAGAACACTCTATTTTTTGTTTCCTTTGTTTAATCAATGACTGAAGGAAAAAAGCAAAAGGCAAATATGGATGAGATAAATTAAAATAATAATAAAATAATAATAAAATAATAAATAAAGAATGAGATAATTGGGTTCCACACCATGGCACATATGGATTAAAAAAAAATAAAATACCACATCATCACTTTTCAGCTTAAGTGGCACTCTACTTTTTAAAAAGTAAATAGATAACTTGTGTTGCCCACCGGATGCTCTTACAATGTTTGATTATAGAATATTTTTTAAAAACTAAAATAAAAATAAAAATATAAACCAAAATTTTAAAAAGAATCATTTTCTAACTAAATTTCTATTAAAGAGTTTTCATAAGCGTCAATGACGAAAGCAGCCCCTTCATATTTTGGTTTCAACATAAAATTGCCTCAGGTTATTAAATTTTGAAATCGAACCCATTCTATTTGTACAATGTTCAGAATCTATTTCTAAAGGAACCTGTAAATAATTGGAAACACTATCTTCATGAGATAAATGATAGGGTTAATTTTTATTATTCATTATGTAAAAATTGGTGACATATAATTTTGAATGCAATTATTAATGAATTAATATATATTTTTTATTTATAAGCAATCTTAGATCTTCTTTTACGTAAAAAAAATATATATATATATAAATTATGGTAGGATTTCTAATTTGAAGCAAAAATATATTATAATTTTGGACAAATTACACTGACCTCCCCTAAGGTTTTGTCAATATACAAAGACCTTCCCTCTTGTTTTTCAAATTACACAGATCTCCTTGTCAGAATTTTAGATTGGATCGTGTTAACTATTAATTGTGTAATTACATTTCTGTCCTTATTATATATTTTTAATTTTATTTCAAAATTTCAAAGACCAAAATACCCGCTATATTTATTATTACTTTTCAAGTCAGGAAAAAAAAATAAAAAATAGATTATTTTCTGCCCTTTTTATTTTCTAATCCGTCTCCTCTTTACCGCAACCATTTTTTCCGGTGGCTTCCATATTTGCAGACAATCATCACCCTATTTGAGGATTCAAATGTCTTATTCTCAAAATAGCTTTAGTAAAGATAGCAAGTGAACTTATTGATACTAAGTGGTTAAGGTTTGGTCCATTTTCCTTGTAAATTTCATCAAAAAACTCCTTCAACGAGCAATCTTTCCAATACCCATTATGTTCTGCTCTCCTAGAATCTACTGAAACCCACCCCAAATTTCTTAGAATCACTAACAATTGTCGCAATAAAGCAAAAAACTTGCACCTTTTTAACCACTAAATTCACCCCATCAGTCCACATAAGAACAAGACCACCAGTTCTACCAACTGGATCAACCCAAATCATATGATCAAAAACCACTTGTCTCATTACTCTTTCCAAAAAAAAAATTTATTATTTTTTTCTCCAAATGGAATCTAAAGCATACTTTGTTGATCAATATGGATGTGCAATATGATTGATATGATTACAAAACCACCAAATTGCATGGGCTCTGTTATCTTCAAGCTCTCTCTCGGTTGGGTCTCTTAATGAGCAAGTGCTCTCTCTCTCTTTTATATATATATATATATATATATATATATATATATATATATATATATATATATTTATTTATTTATTTATTTATTTATGTGTTATATGTGTGTGTATAGTGTGAGTCGTACGCAGTGGAAAATACTTAAAAAGTTTTGATTATTTAAAAAACAGATCTTGTGTTTTTCTAACTTACTTTATTTTAGCAATTAAACAATTAATCACATGCAGATAAAATAAAGCAAAGTATAAAGTTAAAGATGACACCAGGATTTTAGCGAGGAAAGCCTAGTTGATAAAATACGTCAACTGTTATGGAAAAAATCTCATGGACTTGTGCAGTCCAAAGTAAACCAATCCACTACATTTAAAACAAAGTATACCGAACTTGGACTCTGACTCACACTCTATCGTTTTACACCACATCAACCGCTGACGATCATCTGGCTTTGCGATTCCCCGTCCAACAGCAACTTGATCTCAGTCTTACACTTGATATTTGTAGAAGAGTAGTAGGTAGATCAGACAGCAATCCACGAATGCTCTAACCCTTTCAAAGTGTAACTGCGTTTACTTCTATTCTTCAATCGTCTGAATGATGTAGAAGAAGATCTGCTTTGTCTGATCGATGTTAATACGACTGTATGATCATGATCAGGATTTGAACACCACAACTCTAAATTATGTTTATGTGTATGTGTTCTAGAAAGATATCAGAAAAATCAACTCTAATTTTCTACACAAATAATCTTCCTAAGGCTTTGAATAAAATCTGAATAATAATGTAAAAGCCATTCTTAAACCAATATATATGACATGGTTTATATAGAGTTTAGAATGACCTAATCCCTCGAAAAATAAGATAAAATTCGTACATAGGATTTGGTACAATTCAAGACCAACTAAGAGAGAAATCTGAAACAGGAAACTAAACTTTCCATAGGCTATCTGGACTCTTAAACCTGTTCAAAGAATTGGGAACTGGTTCAAGGATGGCAGAATGTATTTCGAGGCCAATGTTAAAGACTTGAACCTGTTCAAAGAATTAGGAACAGGTTTAAGGATGGCAGAATGATTTCTAGGCCAAATTCTAATGGCTTGAACCTGTTCCAAGAATCATGAACAGGTTCAAATCTGCCAGACTTGATTCCTAATGTTCTAGGCGCTGTTTTTGGTATATTATGAAACTTACCAAATATGGAATGTGTCCTAACCTTCTTGGATTTCTTCCTAACATGGTGTTCTTCCTTTTCTGTGATGATCGCAGTTATAACATCTTTGAACAACCTTCCAAATCTATAGTCTCCGCCGATCTTGATAACTTGCATTACAAGTAACTTGAATTACAACTCGACATAGACTTGTTTTGTTTACGATAATTGCCAAATATAAAATAATATCTCACAATCTCTCCCTTCGGCAATTTCGTAACAAAACCTAAATTTTTTTTGAATAATCTACCCAAAGCAAAAAAGTAAATTACAAATTTGTTTAAAGGTAACAGACGAAATACCTTTGCTCTTCTTGGATATATGACTTGACCTAAATTCCTGCACATTACCAAGCAACAACTACCAGTGAAGTTTAATAAATAAAAATATATAAAAACTCCCCCTTAACTATATATCCAGAAAAACGAACAAAGAAAGTGACAATCTCTCCCCCTTTATATTGCACTATCTCCCCTTTTTTGTAAGAAATTATCAAAGCATAGGAAATAAATAGTAGGACAGAGATAAAAAGCAAATTCCAAAACAAAACATATTCAAGTCATTGAAAGCATATTCCAGGAATATCCAAAACAAAATGACCATGTGAGAAAGTGTAAGATGTCACGATGCATGGTAAACACAAAAGTCAGCATCATTATCAACCACTATGTCAGAAAACAAATATTAGCTTCAGTCGTTTCCACTATCCTCTGCAGTCTCCTCATCTTCCTCATCCTTATCCCCATTGGAATAGTTATGCTCATCGTCAGCTCTCATCAACGGATCTGGAGGAGCAGGCCGATAAACATCCTCAGTAGGAACCTCTGACTGCTGGTCTCTCATCTATCTTACCTCTAGTTTGGGATCTCTAAGGTCAGCCATCATCAACTCTTGGTTTCGAAGAATACTCTACTGATTCTGAAGCAGAAGAGAATACAATAGGTTTGCATCTGTTTTAGCAAAATTTCCTTTGGGAGGAAATAATCGAGTAATATCTAGAGTTTGAGAAGACCCTTCATTAGCAACTCTCTTAGCCTTTCTAGCATTTTCTCTGGCTAATTGTGACTTGTTCAGAGCACAAGCATCTAACTCAGTCATAATATATTGATGGTATACTCTCGAGAAGATGAACTGGTTGATCTAGAAGTTGATGTCCTTCTTTTGGAAACATTTGAACCTCCTTTAGATTCTTGAATGTCAATGCTTGTTTAAGACCTCTTGGGAGGCTGTAGATGTGCAATCCCTTTGCCTTTAGCCTCTTTGGTGATTTTAGGAGCCATTTGATTCACACAGCTTTTGGTTTTGAAGCTTACAAACTCTTTCAGGAATTTTCTCAAACATCTAATGTGCAACCCCAAAGGTGTTTATAGAGAAAGCTTGATATGATCTCCAATCCTCCCAAAAACTCAACAATAATGTAAGACTATGATCCCAAGCACAATTCAAAGCTTCAACCACTCCAAAAATTAAAATAATTAATCAATCCTCTAAGTTGTTCAAACCCACACTCCAACTTCAATAAACCCATTTTTCAAGTCAATCTTCACCATCAAGTAATTGTTCTTCAAT